ATACAATGCTTTACAACCCAAGTCCTGATTATATTACAACTGTACACTGTACTCATGAAGCTGTCTATCCTCTGTGAGTATAAAGTCAGAGTATTTTTATAAGTGCTGTTTCACCATATGTATTTCAGGAATTTATAAAATGTTGGGTTATGGTGCATTTAACCCTGAAATGTGGCCGTATTCTGCTAAGTTACTACTTCTTGTAAGAAGGGAAATCTACTTGCCAAAATGTACTTAATGTAGCCTGGATTCAGGAGAACATCCCTATCCAGAGAAGCACTTGAGCACATGCTTACGGTTAAGCATGTGCTCAAGTGCTGTCTTGAATTGGGGGCTGTGTTTATATGGCACTTTAAAAATGGAGCGCTGTAAGTGCTCATTAATTCTTTTATTGGCCCTTGTGTGAGAAATGGAAGGGCCTAGTGGTAGTCTAGACTTCAGTTTATTTGCGAATTTGCTTGTCTAACAGCAGCTTATACTAATTCTGGGTGAACAGTAATAATTTTGCCAGGTATTGGTAGAAATGCATATTTAAAATTCTAACGTTAGTATAGCTTTCAGCCAGAGGTAGAGATAGAAAAGCTTTTCTCTGAGTGCTGTTCTAGATGAAATGAGGATAGATCAAGGAGGTCAGCTTAATCTAACCTTAGTCTGAAATATAGCCATATGCCACTAATTGAAGGGAAAAAAATCAGAACATTCACAACCCTTCACAAACACGAAGTCAATCTTTCAGCTGGTAGAGTGCATCAATTTTCCTTTCTTCTGCTTATAATGTTAATTTTTCACAACTGTTTAAATGACTGTGACTTCTTTAGAAATTCCTCTTTGAAGGTGCAGAATGTAAAAGGGCTTATCTAACCCAGACCAGTGGGCTATCAAAACCCCTTTGAAGTCTTGTGACTCACTGAGCTTTCTTTTTGTGCCGCTTCTTTAAAGCACCAGCATAGTGAATCATAATAAACCAGCAAGCCAACAATCTCTCGGACTGTCGCTTTACTGGCAGCGTTTTTGCACATTGCAGCATGCTGGCTCTTTGGGGGAAATTCTACATATGTCCTAGGTAGTTTCACAAAGAACTCAAGTAATCTTACAATGGAGAGTAGCAACCTGTCCCTTTTAACATCTCATAAATGAGTGTCACAACAAGCAGCCACGCAAGGGAGACTGTTCATGAGGGTTTAGGAGTACAGAGAATCTGTAACAGTGAACTTCGATATCTTCATTACACTTCAGGATAGAGAATTAAGGAACACCTATAGATTTGGGTAACCTTTCAGAACATGTTGCTTTCACTGCCCTTGGGAGGCGGCGTGGTCTAGAGAGAGTCAGGAAACCTGCAGTTTGCTCCCACCTCTGTCACTGCCTTGTGGTGTGACCTATGGCAAGTCAGCTGAGCTCTCTGTGCCTTTGTTTTCCCCTCCCACCCTCTATATAGATTGTAAGCTCTCTTCTGTGTGTGAATGTGTATAGTGCCTAACGCGAGGCATCCTAGGTCTGTTAGAGCCTGTAGTTACTACTGCAATGCAAATAGTAAATATTAATTTTTTCCTTTACAGATACACCATTGTATTTATATACTATGCCTTCTGTCTGGTGTTGATGATGCTGCTCCGACCTCTTCTGGTTAAGAAGATTGCCTGTGGGTTAGGAAAGTCAGATCGATTTAAAAGTATTTATGCAGCACTTTACTTCTTCCCTATTCTAACTCTACTTCAAGCAGTTGGAGGAGGCCTGCTCTGTAAGTGTGTGTGTGGGGGGAGGGGGGTGTTGTTGTTTTTTTAAATGTATGTCCTTAACAAAAACAACATCTTGCTCAGTGGACAAAGTATGTCCTTTTTTGCTTTGCTATGCATAAGGCTATTGCGTTAAATGTATAAAGAAACATTCATCAAAATTGCCTTTATTGTTCAAATATCCACCCCCAGTGATAGTATAAAATTAATTACTCCACATAGCCATCTATTACATGAAGAAGCCTGCCTCACTCCCCCTCCACCCACACACCCTTCTTGGGAAAACACTGACAAATCATGGAACTGGTGTTGTAAATCAAAAGTAGGGTTCCTTAGCCAATCAACTCAGAGCTGCCTTAGCAGAGCATGGCAGTGTGTTAAGTGTACTGTCCGTCTAGCTAAGATACCTATTTGCCTGCATACATACTGGTTTAAAACCACAGATGACTTTCAGACCTCCCCAAAGCCGCATTGGCCTCGCTCCCTAGATAGTAGGAATGCGGTTCCAAGCTTCATTGCAGTTCTGTACATTTAGCCTTCCAGAAAGAAATATTTTCAATAAAAGGCAAGAATTAGCAAATGCTGAGGAATGCATTTGGAAAGCAGTGACAATGGGAGTCTAGAGAACACTCAAACGCAGGCAGCAGCTCAAGAGAAAATTATTCTTGTCCTAAATTATTCTAAAAGCTGCTGGCCTGTGCCAATAGAAGAATTCAGAGCCTGGTTGTCAGATGCACTCAATGTATCTGAAAATCAAACCCTCATTCGCTTACAGCCAAATTGAGCGCTCTTGTGAAACCTGTAGACAGCCACAGGGGAAGAGATCAGGGAAGCTGAGGACTGCCTCAAACTTGCTTACTGTATTCCTCCTTTTTAAGGGGATGTGTAGAGGGGGGTTGTGGCTTCCAGACCTCGAGGAATCCATGAGGAGAGGCTGCCTCGTGTGCTGTTCCCTCCTTCCTGGGCACATGGCTCTGTGCCTTGCCTTTTACCCCTCAAAGGGGCAGGTGCGGATGGAAGCTAATGCTGCATCTTAGTGGTATTAACTTAATGTATCTTTTCCAGCAGAAATACCTCTGGTTTTACAAGGGGTGGAAGCAAACTGGAAAATTTAGCTAGTCTTAGCCCCCCCCCGCCCGTCTCGAGTCTGAGCCTTGTGCTATAAGCACAATGTGTGGGCTCCTGTGTGAAGGGGCAGCATGTCACCATGCCGTCACTCAGCATGCAAGCTCCCATTCCAGCTCTTATGGGTGCTCTTCTGTCCACTTTTCTATTCACATTTGTGCTTTAGCTGTGGAGGGGGGAGCTAAAGGGCTATTAAACGTCAGTGATGTGTGTTAAAATGTATAGTAACTAATTAGAAATAGTATGAGAGAGGTCTATTAAAGCATGAATGTTGTGGAGAAAGTGAATAAGGAATTCTTTACCCCTTCACATAACACAAGAACCAGAAGTCCCCCAATGAAATTAATAGGCAGCAGGTTTAAAACAAACAAAAGGAAGCATTTCTTCACACAGTTCACAGGCAACCTGTGGAACTTGTTGCCGGGGATGGGGTGAAGGTCAAATCTATAACTAGGTTTAAAAAAGAATTAGATAAATTCAGGGAGGATAGGTCCATTGAGGGGTGTTAGCCAACATGGTCAGGGTGTCTGTAAACCTCTGACTGCCAGAAGCTGGGACTAGACAACATGGGATGTATTACTCAATAAATTGCCCTGTTCCAACGGTGCCCAGTGCCAGATGCTTTTGAGAGAATGAACGGAAGGCAGGATACTGGGCTAGATGGATCATTAATCTGACCTAGTATGGCCATTAGAAATACGATCCTTTGGGCCTCAGAGGAGATGGATTTTGAAACCTCTAGACCAGTGATGCTCAAACTTCAGTGGTTCAGGAGCCAAATTAGTGATCAACAGTAGTTAATGTCTTCTGCTGAAATGTACTTAATGTGGTGGTGTTTTCCCACCCCCTAATACATGCAATGTTTGCCTTTAGATTATGCATTCCCATATATTATATTGGTGTTATCTTTGGTTACCCTGGCTGTGTACATGTCTGCTTCTGAAGTAGAGGTAGGTAGAAATGTCTCTTCTGTTCTAGATTTTAAAATTTAATTTTGTCAGCTGAGGCTCAAGGGAGGCCTGAGAAGTAAGATGAGGAACACTTGCTCATTGTTAATGCATTATGCAATATCTCTGGCCAATGCTACAATATCTTCTGGAATACTGACTTGAGTGGCGACTGCTAGCTTACCTTTCCTCGTGTATTTGTCTGTACTCTTGTGCTTATTCTGGGAATAAGCTTTTTTCATTTTTGGCATATGAGTCCAGCTCAAGGAAACTAGCATGAACTGGTAGTCCTTGATGCAACTCCCTCTCCCAAGGAGGACTAGGGAAAGATCATAGAGAGTGACTAGAGTCAAATCATAATTCTCAAGCCCAATAGACTTTATATATAGTTGCCTCCCCCTGCACTGTGCACAACCTCTCACTTAAGTGTCAGATACAATGTAGGTGTGAAAACATTAACAACACTTTTTCTTTTACAAGTCTTTCAAGGACCTTCTTGTCAGGAAGAAAAGGCTTGTCGTTCTTTCTAGCCACTGGTTACTTCACGCCTATGGAATCATCTCTATTTCCAAACTGGAGAGACTTGGCCAGGATCTACCACTATTGGCTTTGGTACCTGCACCTGCCCTCTTTTACTTACTTACTGCAAAGTACACTGAACCTTCACGCATCCTTTCAGAAGGAGCAAATGGACATTAAATGTAACTTGTGCCAACAGCCCAGTGAAACTGTCCCAGTAAGATGGATTAAAGAATTTCAGTGCTTGTTATGCCCTTCAGCTCTTCTTAGACTAAAGTTATCATTTCTGTATAAGACATTTTCTGGGTAAAACATTGTATAGAATCTAAGAGTAAGACTATGTAAACTTAGCTTCTCTAACTTCAGGAAGGGCTTGTAAAAAATCAAAGTGGATAATGTCTTAATCTATATACATTTTTTACTATGTATAAATACTGGTGGCACATACCTTGTATATAAGTTTTGTTTGTACCTTATTTATTTATTTCACAATGCCGTATATTAGCATCTGTTTGAATAAAGTAGCAAAATAGAGCTGTGGTTTTCTGGTAAAGTGTCTGGCTTCTGTCAGCTCCTCACTTGGAACTACCATCTCCCTAAAAATAAGAAGTTTGTGGAGAACACTGTCTAAAATTGCAGAGGTAGTTATGTACTAGCATTTAACTCCCACTAGAACCCCCTCCCTTACCCCTGCTACAGCCTCCTATTAACCTGCAGACCAATACAATTTAGATCTTAAAACATGGGCGAGGAAATGTACTGTGGAGAACAATCCTGCTGACAATTCTGTACATTTCTTACTGCATCTTTCAGTCTGGTTTGAGATGTGCTGACAGTCTCCAGATGGAAGATTGTACAATTTAAGAGTACTATCCCTTCCACTCAGGCAGTTTCCCCAATACGCTGCCTGCATACTCCTAGGCAGGAATTGGTTCCCCCTTCTAGCCACCAACTGGTGTTAGCAAACTGTCTGCCATAAAACGTGTGATGGCCAAGCAATGAAGGCACCTGCATGGTGGAGACCTCTCCATGCCTTTCACCCTTGTTCAAAATTGTTGGGTTTTGGCACAATTAAATAATTGTCTGTTTGTTGGTTTTGCTTTGGTGTACATTCAATCACGCTCATAAAGCTTGCGCTACCACTAACATTGTAAAGGTGAGAAATGTGCTGGGTGGCAGCCAACCAGCCACTGACCTGCAGTAGTTAGAGCAGGGGGACTGTAGGCAATGACACACTAGCATCAAGCTTTCTAAGTCCCTAACACACACAAAGGGAGAAAGGGCAGAGAAAGAAATGGGGTTGCTGTCACTAAGGAGCAGTCCCTGTCCCATTAAGTGGATATATTCATCTCTTCTCTAATGCTCTCCTAGTATTACTTTTACATGTAACACATGCTAGAATGGAGGTATTCACAAGAGGCATGACAGTATGAAACAGACTGAGAACCAGCATCCTACAACACTTAAATGATCATTAATGCACAAAGGGACGTCACATGGTAACTAACAGCCTTTAACTGCTTCAAATCTAAAAATATGAGCAGCTATTTCCCAAGGATATTTTGACCAGCCAACTCTTTGGGCAAGTTGACCAGTGACCTGGTTTTAAATCTTGAGCCTATGGAAGTAATTACAAAGAGGGCAGAGAAGGATAAAAATGTACTGATCAGGGTATACCCTGGTATAACAGTGAGTGTGTTTGTTTAATTAAGAGTCATAGTGGTATGTTGTTTGTTCTATTACCCAATTAGGCTGTGGGGAATTGGGGAGCAGCTTGAGAGCTTACCTCTCAAAGCAAAGCTGGTCTAGTCAAAGGAGACACTACAGTGGAACATACGGATGACTCAGGGTATTTGTTTTGGACTCTACACCAGCTTACCTGCCTCCAGATGTCACTGTTCCTTGTTCAGATGCAAACTATGTAGTCGTCTCTCTTAGGACAAAAATCCTAAATCTTGTAGTAATAACTTTGTCTAACTGGAAAATTAAATCCACTATTTCAAAAAGGACTTCTACAATGGTACACACACAAAAATTTGGGTGTGAAAATAGGCATTTGCTTAATGAGATTGGGTACACCTAGTTGTTTGCATACAAACATTCCCATTTTTTACCCAAATCCATAAAGCACTTCTGAAAATATGGCCCTGATAGAGAGATGCATTAAAATACCAACTCCCATGGCTCATGTTTTGTGTGCAGTCTTGTACCTGTATTTTCAGACTCAATTACTGGGATTGCACATGTACTTTGGGTGACTGGGTTTCTGGACCAACTGCAATGTACATTTGCATGCACAGCTATGGTAATGACAAAAGAGCAATTGCATATGCATTTCTCTTCATGGACAGTGTGGCTCCAGGCTTAAAAGTTTGGCCCTAAGTTGTCAAAAAGAAATGTGAAAACAAATCCCAAGTAGAACTAATGATAAGCATGTCATTGGATAAGAGTGGGGAATCTTATATATTAATCCTAAAATTTCTATTAGTCAGTAGACTGTTAAAAGCATAGCTCATTGTAAGTAAACATAGCCTAGGGATCATATATGGATACTTACCTTTTCCTTTTTACTCCAATATTCTATCCTTCAGAAACATCTGGAATTTAAATATAAAGTACATATTTTAGCAAGCTTTTCTCAGTATCTGCTCTCAGTTGCACAAAAAAGTTAATTGCAGATACTTAGTTTAAGATGGATGTAATTAAACAGACCCATTTTTGCCTGATCCTTGCGGTCCTTTTATGCAATGACTTTCTATTGACCTCAGTGAACGTTCTACACGTGAAATAATGGCAGCATCAGGCCTTAAGCTGAAGCAGAAATGTTCTTTTCCTTATAGATTTAACCCATCCCTTTCTCTAGTTTGCTGTCCAAGTATCAACATCCCAGTCACCTCAAAGGTGTATGAATACAACAATAACCTTTCTGCTTTAAAATCCTATCATCAAAAAAACAATGTACTTCTGTTACAAGAATATAGCCACTTGCATGCACATACCACGAACATTCCCAAGGATAGAACTTAGGACTTTTAGTATCCAAAGCACAAGCCTGTACTACTGCAGCTAAAATGAGCAGGTAGCAAGGTATTATGGGAGGTGGAGGGAACGGCCCTAAGAGGAGACATGTTCAGTAGGGTTACCATTCGTCCGGATTCCCCCGGACATGTCCGGCTTTTTCGTGTTAAAAATAGCGTCCGGGGGGAATTTGTCAATGTCCGGACTTCCCCTCCTCCCCCCCCCATGCAGAGCGTGCGCGCGGCTTACAAAGCAGCCGGAGCTCCGACAGCCAGAGCCAGAGCCCTTCCTTCACTTCCCCCTCCTCTCTCCTGAAACTTGACACCACTCCCTCCTCCCTGCATTCACAGATCGCCGGCCGGCCTCGGCCTCAGGCCGTCTGGAGCTCCGAGCCTGCTGCCCTCCCCCGCTGTCGAGCGTGCTGCTCTGCAGCACAGTAAGGGGGCCGGGGGCCAGAGAAGCGGCAGGGAGTAGTCAAGAGACAGGGAGCAGGGGGGAGGGTT